TTTGTTTGATGTTTTGACACACACACACTCACATTCACGTGGAAGGACATTTCCTCTGGTCGCCGCCACCAATTGTCGTTGGATTTTCCAACTAATTTGTCAACTTTGGCCGAGTTGGCTATTTAAGATCGAAAGCCTCGATTTGATTGGTTTCCGCCATTTGGAATATTGTCTCTCTTTCCAATTTATCGTTCCGCAACTAAAGAAGAGTTCCTGATCGTCGCCTTTGTAAATCGCTCGTTTAAATTCGCTTAAACTCTTTTAAAACTAATTTTGCTTTGCTTTCGCTCTAATTTTGCTTTTGTTTTGTATTTTGCTTAGTTTGAATATGTTTCGCTATTTTGAAATTAACATCGCGTTAATTTAAATCTTGCTTACTATTTTGTTTGCTTTTGGTAATTTTGCGAATTTATTGGTTTTAGTATTGATTATTTTGTCTGTTAATTAATTAATTTGTTAATTAACTTATTTATTAAATCTATTTTTTTTAATTAATTATTAATTTGATTTTGCTATGAATTTAATTTTGCTTATTTTGAATATTGTTTTGAAGTTAGATTATCGCTAGTATTGTTACGTTATTTCATTGAAATTAAGATTTTTTATGTTATTATGAAATTTGGTTTGATGTGTGAGTATTTTATTCAACGAAAATTATTAATTTACTATTTTGTTAAGAATAGTTATTTTCAAATTTGAATGAATTTGCCGCTGCGGCGCTGCCTCGAAACAATGGCGCGCGCGACCGCCGTAGGTCAGGTTAGATAAGAAACACGACGCTACCGGCGAATTAATGAGAAAACGTGACAAGCACCGGCACTTGCGTTTCGGACTCGCTCTGCGACTTTAGTTTTGTGGGCTTCTCCCTTTAAAATTTTTTTATACTTGCGAAACATGTGACGAAAAGTGTCCAGGACGAGAAGACGACCCGGTCTCGAGGAGCTTCCCGTCCGCTGTTAATTTTGATATTGGTGAGTCGACAGTATTGTTAAAAAGAATGCATATTCTCAATTTTTCGTTTGTTTTCTTTGATTAAATTTAGATTATTTCGCATAGAGAATATGAATTCTTGCTTTCTTTTCGAAATGACGCCACTTTTCGACCTCATGGTCTTTTCTTTGCGACAATTTTCGGTTTTGTCATTTGATTTCTAATTTCAAGCTTAGATTAAAAGGCTTCATTGCGAATCATTGTTTCAATTTTGTGATATTATTATGTATTTTACGAGTTTGTTAAAATTTCGTAATGCCTCGCGGTTTCGCTTCAAACTTTCTTGCTGTGATTAAATTCAAAATGTCGCGTATTAATTAGTTAGAAATAATTAGAGAATTGATTGCGTGCAATGAGTGAGTTTAGAACCAAGTCATTTTGCGTTAAATTTAGTTTATTTTGCGTATTAAATTTTGTTGAGTAGCAGAGATTTTATTTTTGTCTTATAATGAAATTCCACGATTTTGTTTGATTATTTGCGTATTTTTGTAATTAATTGAGACGAATATTACATTCGAGAATTATGTCGGAAATTATTAGTTTGAAATTTATTTTGTTATTTGGTTTGAATTGAGCGAATATTTTGTTCTTTTTTTTGTAAAACCAACATGATTACTTATTGAATATAATTTTTTATTGTTAATTTTAATTATGTTTCTTTATTCTTGCCTTTGAAAATACTCTCACCAAAGCCCTAGCCCAATGCTTCTTCTTTTTTGAGTTAGCCCGAGCAACATTTTGCTGTGAAAATCCGGTAAACCATACTTAAGTACTATTTTGTAGATTTTGACTAAATATTATTTTTGATGCTTTGATTTGATATTCGCTTCTGTTCGATGATTCGCGAATTTTGATTGATTTTCTGGTTAAATTTTTGAAGTAAAATTTGTTGAAGAGGAATTAACCTGGTGGTCTTGTTTCCTCCTAAACAATAATTTTACTAATTTTGTTGCTGCTGACGTTGGCTCATCGGTGAGCCTGGCGTCCAACAATTTTGTAATTTTGTGGTTTTTGCCCCTTTTCGCTTAAGTATGATTCCGAAGGTGATTGCGCTATATCTCTGAACGGCACTGAGATAGCAATTTTTAGGAATTTTACAAATTTTGAATTATCTTGATTTATTTTTGATTTTGTAAATTATTTAAGCCATTGTAAAATTTTTAATCTCATAAGATATTCAGGAGTTCGTTGTTTTTCAACTTCCAACCTGTTATTGAAAGTTATAATTATTAACATTTAACACAAATACACTACAAATCGTAAAAATTATACAAGAATTTGTTGTTTTACAACTAATATCTTGTTAATTACAAAATTATCTTCAAAGTCAAGCCCTGGAATTAAAATTTGAGGAGCTCGTTGAATTCTTTTTAACTTTCAACCTCAGTTTTGATTTCTAAAGGGGTAACAAAAGCAAATCGTAAGTTTATTGAATATTCTTATGAGCTGTGTTCATATAGTAATAGGCTATATCGATGTGGCAGTTTGAAAGATTCAATAAATATTGATCCCAGACCACCAAAATTATTATTTATAATAGGAAATAATTAATACATTTGTATTAATTATTTAGTCAATTTTTCAGAGAAATAAATAGATTTCTTTAAATGAATTAAGGTAGTGTTGAGCATTTTTTAATATTATAATTAATAATATTTAAAATAAATCAATAATTGCATAATTTATATTTATGAAGAATATTTATTTGATTAGAAAATAGTTAATTTAGGAAAAAGGGAAAACTTGACCTTATAATTTGTAGGCAGGATTTATAAAATTTTATTATTAAATTTTATTTAATTTTTGTTTATAGATTTGTCAAATTTGGAAAATTTACATATTGTAATTATTGAAGTTAATAAGTGAAAAGGAAATACATTCAGAGGTGAATGAACTTTATTATTTATTTTGTTTTGTTGATATTGAGTCAATTTATATAGAATATAGCAACCGAACTTACATAATTATAAATATACAAAAACTATATCATAAGAAAAGATTTCTTTATAGTTAAAAAATTGTGTTAATTATTATATTTGATTTTAATTTATTAATTATTTTATATATATTTATCCTACGAACAGAAGATAGAAAAATTATCTTATTTAGTAGTGGATAAATTAGAAAGAATAAAAAGCTGAATTACCGAATAATTATTGGAGCAGATTCCTCTAATTTGGTTACAAAGCGACAAATTTTCACAAAAATAAAATATAATATTAATTTAGAGAGAAGTTTAAATTACATAATTTCATTCATAAAATCCTTTTACTATATGTTGTCAAAACAAGATCTTATCAGTTGATATAGTTCGTCGCGTACCTCATTGTTAGAGGATCTTTAAATTTGAGAACAATGTCCTTTTAAATTTAATAATAACATTCTTTTTATTGTATCATTCATATGATATAAGAATGAGAATTGTCGAATACGTATGTGTGAGATAGTTTTTATGTTTTGAAACACGTGGGTTACAGAATATTACCGTGCAGTGGGCTATTTAATCAAAATAAAGGAAAAATATATAGATATACACTTCCCTCGGTCTGTTAACCAGTAGACTCATGTTTCAATAGCTGCTCAAAAATGGCCAAAGAAATAATTTAAAATCAGTAAACTTTGAAATTTGTCGATCGACATTTTGAAGCCGCCATTTTGTATTTTTATATTTTGATTACGATGATTACGAATTCGGTTTTAGTTTCCAATAAGTTAAAATGGCGGATTCAATATGGAACAAAATTTTTACTTTATGCAATTGATCTTAATTTTTTCACTCGGTGGTTTTTAAGGTCAATGATTACGAATACGATGTTTGTTTTCAAAAATTCAAAGTGGCTAATATAATATGAAGAAGAGAAATTTAAAAAAATTTATATCCACGCTAGCTGGTTGTGAGTCGACGCAAGTGCTAAAACAAGTCAATTGTCAGTGAGCGCTCCTAGGACATTTACACCTACCTGACTGGTATTAGAACTCCCAAATAACAAAATTAAGGTCAATTGCATTTAAAAAGAAAATTCCGCCATTTTAAATTTATGAAAACTTACATCAAATTCGTAATCAGCGACCCTAGAAACCACCGAGTGACAAAATTAAGGTCAATTGCATAAAGTAAAAATTTTTGTTCCATATTGGATGGGAAGTGGTCAAAGATTGGTGAAAAATTGACCTTGTGGTTTATGGACGGCCCCTAAGCTTATACCGCGGCTTATATCATGACTATCAATAAATCTAGGTGTCAATGTTTTGACAAAGAAGGAAGAATACTTCAATTAAATAAATCTTCTAATGTGTAATGAATTTATATAAAGTTTTTCTATCGCTTTACTAAACTAAAAACTGAAAATTTAAGGACATAATTATAAAAATAAAAAATGAAAATAAATGAATAATTTTTTTATTTATAAACTACTATTAAAGGTAATCAAAATATAAATAAAGTAAACAATATTTAATTATATATTAGTTATTAAATTGATAAAATAAATAAAAATTTATTTTAAAAATTAAGCAAAAAATTTGCAGATTATGTTTTTTTCCTTATATACTATAAACAATAAGCGAAATATTTCCTTCATTTTCAACACATTATTGGTATTTGTATGTCATTTATATATTAAAATTATAGAATTAATAAAAAATATTTTTACAATTTTTAAGAAAAAGTTTCTAAGTACTAGATAGCTGTATTATGAATACCAGCCTACTAATTTTAGGTTAGGATTTCTGTCAAAATAATTGTTCGAATAAAATAACCGAGTTGAGTTGTACAATTCGAAACTCCGATTTTCGAATTGGCTAGTTCGATTCGAATCGGCCAATTCGAAACTTCGAATTCGAATTGGCTAGTTCGATTCGAATTTACTTTCGATTCGAATCGGCCGATTCGAAATTCGAAACTTCTAATTCTAATTGGCTAGTTCGATTCAAATTTTCTATCGATTCGAATTTTGCACACCTCTAGACAGTATTTAAAAAGGCTAATAAAATTATAAATGGAAATTTACCTGCGATGTGAACTTTAGTTTCTCTGCAAGCAAGTATGGTCTTCTGCTACGGAAAAAGACATTCTTTTGCTTCTGGGAACCAATGCGTCGTAAAATATTTAGTGCATCCAAAGAAGTGTCTAGTTGTAATGTTTTCTCCTCAGGTAGCCATTTTGAAATTTCAGTCTCAACTAATTGTTTATGCTTTTGACGCTTCTGTATAAATAAAAAATAATTCAAAGATTTCCAATTTAACAATAGCTGTTAATCATAAGAACAAAATATTATTTAGATAATTGTTTAATTTAACAACCTTTGCAGGAACATTTTCCAAGTCTGTAAGCGCAACTGTAGCTGCAGGTAAACCTTGTGCAAGAACAGTTAATAATATATTTTGGCCCCAAGAGTCAACAACTTCCGACGCATCGCCTTCATTATTAGCTTTAGCCGAAGTCAGAAACACAACTGTATCGGAAACTTTTGCAGCATCCAATGTTGAAATTGTATCACCAACTGGTGATATAATTAACGTGAATCGTTGTTTAAATTTGCCAATACTAGGGGGGGGGAAATACAAAATATGCAGTTAATATTAGGTTTAATTAGAATAGCTTTAAAATAAACGATAATAGATACTTTACATTTAAAAATGTTTTAATTATTTAAAAACGTGTATAAAAAATTTCTAACTTCGAAATACAGTAGTTTTTTGGCTTTAAGCACAAGTAAATATGTATAAATATAAGATATAAATGTATGTATGTAGGTTCACCTATCCATGCAATATTACCACGTAACATTACTGTAATGTTACTGTTATATAATATATTATCAGACGGACAAGGCAGAAAAATAGGACGTATACGTATATTTATTTAGCGTATAGTAAAATACATATAATGTACAGAAAAACGCCATAACATATCACATTATATACAGTAAACTTCCATAGGTTACTCACAAGTTTAATATCGACAAACACTTAAAATCACAAAAAACAGTGCATGCATGTATAAGATTATAAGTAAATAATTTTATATATTTGTGCTTAACGCGCAAAAAGTACTGGCTTTCCATTTATTATTACAGTATTTTTTTCAGAAGGGAGCACAAAGTACATCCAATGTAATATAAAATAATTAAACAATATCTTATTTGAAAATAAATTTATTGTTTTCTAAATGTACAAATGATAAATCTTCAAGTTACTCGAAGAACAATGATTAATTTGAGAACATGATCCAAGTTAGGAGATTCAGAACTCAATTAATAGAAATAAAAGTATAGTAGAATTCCGGCTACAAAAAATTTCTTTTTAATAATTATGAATACAAAAACATCACAACTTGTTATCGAGATTACAAGACAAAAAAATTCTTTTTCACAAAATATACAATCACTGTTGTACAATGATTACTATTAATGTTCTTTTGCAAAGAAAGTTATGTCTCGCAATATATTAAAACGGATGTTTTTCTTAGAATATCCATTAATTAAATATCTTAAAGCTAATAATTTTTATTTACTAACATTAATTTTATAACTTGACAGTTTGAGATTAGATATCCCGTTATTTAGTTTTATAAAGTCATTCTTTGAGTGTGAATATCGATTTCTTTTAAACTCTTTGCAGCCATTGTTCAAATTAGCCAATTGAGAAACAAAAAGTCAAAAAGAATAACAATCTATGAAAAATGAAACAGTAGCTCCATCTAAAAATATACTTTAAGTGAACAGAGAAAGCCTTTCTATATAAATATTTTTCTAATGGAGAATCGAGAAATATATTCGATAATTTTGAAAAGCGACCTTAAAGAATTGATTTTTGTATAATGAAGTAGGAAGGTATATGTACGCAATGAATTAAATTCAGTTGTTTACTTCACCTCAAAGTGTAAGGAAGACAGTTTGAAGTTAAACGATTTATCGTTCGGCGTTACATTACAATTATAACGGACAGTGAAATAGAATTTGTGAGTAATATTAATAAATAATAAAGATTAATTTTTTAAGTTTTTATGAATTTCTTATTATTATTTATTTATTGTATATGTTATATATAATAAAAAATTCAGAAAGAACATTTCTGCAAAATTTGAAGTAAATCGGTTGAGTAGATTTTGAGTTATCGTGTCAACCAGAATTTTTTTCTTATTATTTCATTTTCAATTTTATTTGCATTCATGGGCTTAACTGAAATTAGAGACTGGTTTTTCGCTCCGTGTTACTGGGCAGTAAACACATTGAAGCGTTCACTAGCAAAGGAATTCACCCGAGCTTCATTAAAAGGGCAGAAGTTACTTGCTCTAAAACTCGCGACACATTTCAAGAGTGACGTATACCTCTTCGACAACATCGGATATTTCCGCACGGGAGAGCAAAAGCTCTACAAAAATATTCGTTATTCTCAACGAGATTCCCGTTACGCCGTTCTCTCTCTGTTGCCGCTCAGAATGTTATGAGAAGCAACAACGAATATCTGCAATTCGTTACAAACAGGGACGACGTTATCAGAGACAGCATTGGAGTGCGCTACCTTCTTGGTTCCGCTATCGAGGAGCAAATCAGTGCTTATCGTGACGCGTTGCTTACTGCTTGTAATCGCAACAGCATTGATACCACTGTAAGTGAGTTTGCTCAATTCTCGAAAGTTACAATTTGCAGGCGAACCGAGAAGCGAGTTCCCTGACCAGACCCGACTCCCCCCTCCCAGACCAGCGTACGCCCTCCCAAATATTGAAGGACAAATTTAATATCTAAGATGTCTTTCAATTTCGATAAGTATCGCGATGATGTTCGCGAAGCGAAAAAGACGCAAGATGCGAAAACGGATTTGTATCCCGATTATCAGATTATAGTCTGGACCACTGTCAAGGATCCAGTAACAGCTGATGAGTCCTCATGACCGCGTCCTGCAAAATGATAGTTGGCTGAGAGTTCTTCTCCGCGATCGCCCAACCTGTTCTGGCGAGGAAGTTGTAGCAGAGTTGGGTAAATTCTCCCCTACTACGAAGAAAGAATTCTTCCGTATTAAAGATGAGCACCAAGACTCAATATTTATGCGTTCTTGGAGATCGAACCGCCGGAATGATTACCCTGGTGGTCACAAGTCCTTATTCGATGAAAAGTAGACTTCCCCTGTCGTTTCATCGTGAACACAGTCGACATCTCAGTCGATCTTCCCCTTGTATATATTTAAATTTAAAAAAATATAGCAGTTATAAACTTCAACAGTTTATAACTTTTAAATTTTTTTATTATTTTTTCTGTATTCTTTAAATATTAATAAACAATTTGGAAAACAATTTATATTAAAAATATTAAACTTTCTTCTTTATCCTGATTTTTCAAAAAATTATCATAAAGAATTATCATCAAATATTCCATGATGAGTCAATCAACTGCATTTAGAAGATATACTATTCTGGTGACTCAGAAACAGACCTCAGGTACACGTGGTGCCTACGTCGATTTCTATAAAGTGCCAGGACTTCAGGAAGAGGCCCACATAAGTGGAATTCGACCGATTACTGGAGATGCATCAACAATTTACCACGACCGTATTTATGAACTCATCCGTGGCGAATCGCACGTGATTCTTTCGGAATCAAGGGTCCTGCTTTTTGTAGCGGACCTTTTTAGGGGCGCTATCACTGGCACAGCTTTGTCACGTGTTGAACGCTTCTATGCGTGTGGTAGTTATTGGTGGAATGAAAAACGGAATAAAACCTTCCATTTTGGACCAATTTCCACTAGGTCAGCAACAAAAGAAAATGAATCTGCCATTTACAAAGGACTATCTCGTGCTCCCCAAAAATTGAAAACCGGGCAGTATAGTGCCAGGTTGTGATAATTACCGGTTAACGTAATGCTTGAGGAAAAGAAGAAGATTGTAAATAGTTTGGTAAATGATGGGGGTGCCGGTCCTAGTGGAAGTGACTTAAATGATTGTCCACGAGTACATGAAGAGGTGGCTATTGCAAGCGGCAGTAAGGATATTCCAATAAGTGTCGAAATGACTGATAGACAGGAGGACGAGAAGTGGCAGGAGGAATTGAAGATTCCTGGGATTCCCAATTGTCATCTTTCAATATGGGTTCCAAGAAGTGGAAGGAAGTTTTGAGCAGTGGAATTTGAGAATAATGTGATTGAGCTACCGTCGTGGTGGCGTCGTTGAAGCGCCTCGAGTTATAATAAATTACGATCCAAATCGTAAGAAGGCACATAGGTAGCGAATCGCTCCGTGTTACTGGGCAGTGAACACAGCGAAGCGTTCAGTGGCAAAGGAATTCACCCGAGCTTCATTAAAAGAGCAGAAATTACTTGCTCTAAAACTCGCGACACATTTGAAGAGTGACGTATACCTCTTTGACAACATCGGCTATTTCCGTACAGGAGAGCAAAAGCTCTACGAAAATATTCGTTATACTCAACGAGATTCCCGTTACGCCGTTCTCCGCTCAGAATGTTATGAGAAGCAACAACGAATATTTGCAATTCGTTACAAACAGGGAAGAAGGCATATAGGTAGCGAATCGCACGTGATTCTTTCGGAATCAAGGGTCCTGCTTTTTGTTGCGGACCTTTTTAGGGGCGTTATCACTGGCACAGCATTGTCACGTGTTGAACGATTGTATGCCTGTGGTAGTTATTGGTGGAATGAAAAACGGAATAAGACCTTCCACTTTGGACCAATTTGCACTAGGTCAGCAATAAAAGAGAATGAATCTGCCATTTACAAAGAACTAACTCGTGCTCCCCGAAAATTGAAAACCGAGCAGTATGGTGCCAGGTTCTGCTGATGCTATCGCTATTGATAATCAGGACAGGGACACTTGTATTAAGCTGCGAGAGGAGGAGGCGGCTTGCATTGAAAAGATCGAGCAGTATGGTGCCAGGTTGGGATAAATTACCGGTTAACGTAGTGCTTGAGGAAAAGAAAAAGATTGTAAATAGTTTGGTAAATGATGGGGGTGCTGTTCCTAGTGAAAGTGACTTAAATGATTGTCCACGAGTACATGAAGAGGTGGCTATTGCAAGTGGCAGTAAGGATATTCCAATAAGTGTCGAAATGACTGATAGACAGGAGGACGAGATGTGGCGGGAGGAATTGAAGATTCCTGGGATTCCCAATTGTCATCTTTCAATATGGGTTCCAAGAAGTGGAAGGAAGTTTTGCGCAGTGGAATTTGAGAATAATGTGATTGAGCTACCGTCGTGGAGGCGTCGTTGAAGCGCCTCGAGGTATAATAAATTACGATCCAAATCGTAAGAAGGCACATAGGTAGCGAATCGCATGTGATTCTTTCGGAATCAAGGGTCCTGCTTTTTGTTGCGGACCTTTTTAGGGGCGTTATCACTGGCACAGCATTGTCCCGTTTTGAACGCTTCTATGCGTGTGGTAGTTATTGGTGGAATGAAAAACGGAATAAGACCTTCCACTTTGGACAAATTTCCACCTGACTACGGTTCCTCCCACCACGTAAAGCTAGAGCGCCGAAGCAGTAGAAGTTGAAATCGAGTCCCAACAACTGGCAACGTTGCGTAGAAGGTTAAA